GTGTTAGCTTTTGCTTAATCTTATTGTATTATTACTACTTAGAAGCCTGTCTGTTTCCTAACGAGAGGCAGAAAGGGGGTGGCTGTGGATGAGAGAGGGAGGTGAGAAAGAACTCGGAGTAGAGGGAGAGGAAACTGTAATAAGGATATATTATGTGAAGGGAAAAAAACCTATCTTCAATAAAAAGGGGTGATGGGGTAAGTCCTTCTGTGTATGTGTTGTCTTACTGGCTGATGAAATAAAACACCGTTGGCCAATATGGAAGCAAGATAGGCGGGACTAGGAGCCAAGGAGGATTCTGGGAAAGAGAGGCACAGGCAGTCACGATGTAGGACACCGGAGGAGTAAGAGGTCCAGACCCTCTTCTCCGGCAAGAGAAGGCCACGTGGAAATACTCAGATTAGCAGTTATGGGTTAATAATTAAGTCAGAGCTAGCCGACAAGAAACCATAGCAAGTGGCCAACAGCTTCATACTTAATATAGCGTCCTGTGTGTCATTTGGGGCCTGAGACAGCAGCAGGACCCAAGCGGCTGGCGGGAAGAATGCACGTTACAAGGGGAGAAAAGGAAAAAGCCTGGTTATCCTCCCAGTGGCTGGCAATTGCCAATAGCTCCTCAGCAGGGGTTAGACTTCATGTCCACCTCCCTCTCCGTGTGGGGCTTGGTCTGGTTGAGCTTGCACAGGCCGTGTGCACACTGTCATAACCGCTGTGAGCTCATAGGCTCAGCTGCCCCGCTCTGTCTGGAAGACACTGTTTTGTTGAGTGAAGCCTTTTCCTTGCCAGCCGCTTTGGTTTTTCCCCACCAGTCGCCTGGGCTCTGCCACATTGTAGTCCCCAAATAACACACAAGACGCTGTATTAATTATGAAGCTGTTGGCCTTGCTAGTTTCTTACTGGCTAGCTCTGACTTAAGTATTTACCCCATAACTGTTAACCTAAGTATTTCTCTTACCGCAGAAAAGGGTCCGGACTTCTTACCCCTATGGCAGCTACATGGTGACTCCCTGTTTTTCTCCTTCCCAGAATCCTGCTTGACTCCTAGTCCCACCTATCTTGCTTCCCTATTGGCCAACAGTGCTTTATTCAACAGCCAACAAGAGACAGGTTTCAGGATGACATCTCCCGTCACTGTTTTTTTTTGTGTACGTTCACCACCTCTGGGTCTTACAGCCCCTTCTTGCACAATGATTCCTGAGTCTTGGGGGAGAGCACACAGGATCCATGTTCTGTTTAGGGCTGAGCACTCCTTAGTCTCCTGTTCCCTACACCTTGTGGGTCTCCATGTCAATCATCCACTACAAACAGATGTCTTCCCTGTTGTGGGTTGGGAGATGCGTTAATCTGTGGGTACAACAGTACGTCGTTAAGAGCCGGTTTATCATACTATGTCCACTTAGCGGAATAGCAGCCCTAGGTTTTCCCCCTAGGGCCTATTGATGTGGGATGTCTTCTCTACATGCTGTGAGCATGTTTTATTGCCGTTGGTCAGTAAAGAAGCTGATTTGGCCAACAGCCAGGCAGAATAGAGCCAGCGGGAAATCCAAGCAGCAAGACAGGGAGAAAGAAGGCGGAGTCTGAGAGACGCCAGCAGCCGCAGGAGAAGCGAGATTGTGAGGTAACGAGCAGAGAGCCTTGTGGGTAAACATAAACGAATACAAATGGATTAGCTTAAATGTGAGAGCTAGATAATAATAAGCCTGAGCTAATGGCCCGGACAGCTTATAACTAATATTAAGCCTCTGAGTGGCTTTCCAGCAACTGGCGAGTGAGAGAGAAACGTCTGGTTACGGCCTGTGCCCTGTCGAACCGCAGATCCTTAGCCCAGCAATGGGTGCCAGGTGCGGGCTTTACCTTGCGGAGCAGACCTTGAGTCCAGTCAGAAGGTGAATGGTAACTCCTGTGATGTTTGCCCTACCATTGCTCCAGGAGGCACTGGTTTCCTCCTTAGTTTGAGGGAAGACGGTGGCGTGCCCCTGGTGGATGGGGGGGGGGAGGGCGTGTTGACAGCCTGAGATAAGAGCTGTCCTTGTTGGTCTACCTCCAAACTGTGCCCATCCCGACACCCAAGCTCGCAAAGTCTCCACGTGACTTTACTCACAGTTGCCAAAGCAGGCAGTGATGCCAGAGAGAGCTTCAGCCTACCCACCCCTGAGGTGGTAGGCCAAGCCACTCTGCACGCGGGGGAGGCCCTGCAGGGCCCTCTCAGGGAAGAAACCCGGCTCTGAAATAGTCCCCTCCTCTCGACCTCTTCGTAACGAAGGTTTCCTGTGGATTGTTGTTTAGACTGGTGGAAGGGAGCTGTTTCAAGAAAAGGGAGGCTCCCTTGCAGCTCGGCTCCATCTGCCTGTGCAGCTGTAACAGAAAAGCCTCCGGTTCTGGGGCAGGGGGATTTCAGAATAAAGAGCAGACATTGGCGCCTACAGTTCTGAAGGATGGGGGACCCAAGACCGTTGGACCCGCGTCTGGTGAGGGGGGGCCTCCTCACAGCGTCATAACGCAGCGAAGCCCATCACTTGGTGGCAGGGTTCTCTAGAGAGAGTGAAAAGGTACCAAACCTCCTTGTTTAAATAACTCACCCCAGGGAAAACGAGGCCATCAACCCAGTGACAGAATCAGAGCTCTCACAGCCAGGGGAACGTCAGCTTCCTACTCTCAGACAGACAGCACAGCTGACAGTCAGTGAACCTGTCACAGAAGGTTTGGTCTGTGGTTCTGATGTAGACAGTAGGAGGCTCCCTTGCCCAGGGAAGGCATGAGACAGTGATAAGGAGAAAATACCGTTTTTACAAACTAAAGAACATCCTGGAGCCATAGGTGGAAATGCGGTACGGGCCTGAAGACAGCAGGCAGGCAGGTGGAAGTAGCTCCGCTGGTAATCTTCTTGCCTAGACGCACAGAGCCCATGGTTTGAGCTCCGGAATTGCATAGACCAGGAGTGTTGGCACATGTCTGTAACACCAGCCCTTGAGGGGCAAAGACAGGAGCGTCAGGAGTTCAAAGTCATCTTTGCCTACATACCGAGTTCAAGGCCAACTGGGAATTCGTGAAATTCATTCATGTCTCAAAAGAATTTAGGAAATGGAAGGAACGAGTACCCCACTAATAAAACATGTGCGGCCCCCCAAAGCACCCCTGTTAACACAGTTGCTCCAACTCACTCCTGAGCCTGCCTGCTTTCAGGTTCTGGAATCAATTTTCTCCGTCCCCTCTCCCGTCCCCTCCTCCTGGCGTCTGCTGACACCCCCAGCTTGTCCATCTTGATGTCCGCTCCCAGCTCTGCTGCCCCCACCACACACCAAGGGGCAGCAGTCCGGCCTCTGGGAAACAGAACGGAAGCTCGGGCAGACAAAGGACTGTGTTGTTTCACAGTTTGTCCGAGGCCACGCACTAGGCCTCGAATGTGGAGGTGATAAATGACTAACGCTTGAGCGAAGGGTTAAATAAGCAGAGTAGAGACATTGAGGGCCTCCTTAGTGTCAAATCACCAGCTACTGTCCAGGAACCCATAGCCTCTGACTCCTCGGATGCTGGAGCTGCTGCTGCTGCTGCTGAACCTGGACCACATTGAGAGCCTGCTCCGAAGCAGGGCGGGGGAAGAGGGGGCACGGAGGCCCACGATGTGGATGGAAGCTTATGAACTCAACAACATGGGTTTCACCTTGCAGAGGAGGTCACCCAAAGGAGGAGCCAGCACCGTCACCTCTCTGCCTGCCTGCCTGCGTCCCCACTGGCCAACGCACCATTTGTGGTCCTTCCAGCTGCAGCCATAGTCTTTCCGAGGCATCAGCGGTTAGTCGGCGAAGAAGTTTCTGCCTCCTGTGCCCACTGAAGGAAGGGAAAGACGGGTGTGACTGCCCTTGAGGGAAGGGCTTTCTCTGCTTTGCCCATCTCCCTGCAGGGCGGCTGGGAGTTCCCAAGGGCAGATGATGAGGGGTAGGGGATCTTATAAACAAAGCCAGGCATAAGAGTACAACAGGAGACCCGTCGCCCTGGAAGAAAGGGAGTTCTGACCCGAGCCAGAACGTGGCTGAGCTTTGCTAAGTGACAGCAGCCGGTCACTGACTGCACAGTCCACTCTCGAGGGACGTGGGGGGGGGAGGCGGGGGGGGTCCTAATCGGAGGAGGAAAGCAGTGACTCTCAGGGCCTGAGGGGGTGGGGGGGGGAATACAGAGTTGTTTAACGGGCTAGGGCTTCAGCTTGCAAGATGAAGTTCTGCAGATGGTGATGGTGTTGGTGGATGTGCTTAACGTACTCTAATATGTTAGGACAATCGTGTGCTGCAATCCGGGTAACTCTCACCTGGAACCTCAGCACTGTAGGAGGCAGGGGGAGGGGGAGGGGGGAGCAGGTAAATGGAGGTATAGATGAGTTGGGGCTGGGCCGGGAGTCTCCCCTGGATGAATGAATGAATGAATAAAACAGTCAACAAATAATAGAAACTCACTTTCATTTTCATCTTAATGCTCCTCCGTAGGCTTCCAAAGCCTAAACCTTGGCAAGGCTGACCAGAAAGCAGGAAGATGGCCAAGCCAGGGGCTCCACATCGGAATCCCAGAGCTGGGGAGGAGGTGGGAGGATGGGGGGGTGGGAAGGCAGGCGGAGTGGGACTCTAGGTATCTTCAGTGGTAGAGCTAGTTTAAGGACACAGACAGGTACAAACGGTTTCAGTCAGTTTTACAAAGTGGGGTCCCAGGACCAGTGCAAACACTTTCACACTTTAAGCAGGTCCTCTGCCCCAATTTGGCTACCTTGACTCAGCAAATCTCAGGGTGGTTCCTGGCCACACATGTTTTAACAAGCCTCCAGGTGAGCAAAAAGGAGTCCTTGGCAGCCGCCCCTGTCACTTGGGACAGTTGCACCCATCCTGCCCTACAGGGTCGGGGATCAGCTCCAGGGACAGGTATCCTGAAGCAGGGTTTTCATCTAAGTTAAACCTCGTTCCTCCAAGGGTGGAGTCCCCGGCCGGCCCCGCCTCGCACTCCTACAGCCCCACAGGTAGCCAGCTGGGCAGGGCCTGGAAACAAAGTCAGGGAGGCTGAACTCCTGCTCACCAGTCGCCAGCCAGGAGCCTTGGAGTCGCCAGCCAGGAGCCTTGGAGTCGCCACCATGGGTACGTGTTCGTGGGCTGCTGGGGCGGGATCTCTGGCTGCTGGGATACTTCTGGGTGCTGGGCCGGCCGAGATTGAGGAGCTCCGCACTGGCAGCAGGGAGCGGACTGGTTGAAGGCTAGAAACCCAGGCATAGAGTTTGAAGTTCCCTCCTAGGCTCAGGGAATAAACTCAGTACCCACCACCGGCCTGCCTCTTACAGACTCCGGGTTTTCATTCTCCCGGTGCCAAGTGGCTGTGACCTTGGGGTTGGGCTGAGTTCTGCTGGCACGGCAGGAAGGGGCGGTGCAAGGGGGGGCACCGTGGGGGCTTTTGAGTGGATGACCCTGGAATTCTCAAGGAAATCCCTGGCCCCAGAGTAAGTCAAGCCGCCTCCCTGTGGTTCTTCCACGCTCAGATTTAAAAGACTCACAGACTCAGTGGCCCATTCCTGAGCAGTCCGGGAGGGGTCCTGCGTTACTTCAAAGTAAGCCGGCTGTGGAAGTGACTAGAACCTCAGACGGGCCCTGAGGCCACCTGTCCCCTTAAAGCTGGGATAAGAGCTGACTCCTCCAGAGCAGCGTGCTCTGATGGCCAGCGGCTGCTTTTCAGGCTGCAGGGCACAGGCAGCTGAGAGTCTGCATGACCTGCTCACATTGAGTTCTTTCTACCTCGCCACCCTTGTCCCCCCCCTTCCTCCGGGACCACACCAGGAGTTTTAGAAATAGCAGCGAGGGAGTGGGCTCGCACATTGTACGTCGGCTGTAGCAACGTGCTGTTCCGGAAAGATTTCTCGTGTTATTTTAGATGGAGGGCATCAGACTATGTACCGTGCCCAGCTTCTAAGAGGAGCTCTGGACCCCAGTCCTGTTGTAACATTGCTGGGAACTGCCTTGAGCTGTTTATGTTGGACTCTCATGTCGGGTGCCTGGGTTGTCACAGGATTCGCATTGTGTGAGATGTGTTTCGGCCTCCTAACAGATAGCTCTGGTGAGGACAGTTCTCAGAAACCTGGGAGAAAAGAAAATAGGATTTGACTTACAATGCTCCGAAGGAATGGGCATTGCCTCGTTTATAAACTTCCTCAACTGGAGTTTTGCAGCCGGGGTTGGCACAGCGTGATAATAGCAACCAGCGGTTTAGATTCGAACCAGGGTTTGGCTTGTAGACGGCTCAGCTTTTCAGTATCAAGAGCCAGGAGGCGGAAGAGATACTTAAAAAAAAAAGTGTTGCCCTCTTGAAAATAATTGTTGGCAGTTAGTTTGTGTCAAACTGTTTCACGTGCCTTGTGACGGGCCATGACAATGGGAACACTTGGTGAGCAGAGCCAAAGAGCAAAGAGTGGGTCTTAGAGGAAAAAAAAAACTGCTCTGAGCCACTGGCTTCTTCCCTATGTGGTTCAAAGCAGTGTTCACACCAGGGGTCCCCCGCCCCTGGGAATCCAGGGACAGCCAGGATGAATGGCCAGGAAGGAGGGGTGTGTGAATCTGGATCACTCACAGCCTGTGCAGCTGCCTGGGAGATGAGGGCATCCATGGCTGAACCTGACCACTGTCTGGTTGAAATCTCACATGTCAGACTTGTTTTTAAGCGGAGATCGGCAGTCTTTTCTAAAGCAGGACCGAGATAGTGACACCTGAGCCGCAGACACTCTGTAAACATGTGGGTGGAGCTGTCCCAATAAAACCAGTTACAAGCACCGACAGTCTAGTTTTGTATGGTTCTACTTTTAGCTGTCTTTTTTTTTAATGCTCCTTTTCAGTTTTTATGGAGTTTTATTTATTTCTTGTGTATGTGTGCATGCACACATCTCTTTGTCCACCCTTGTGTGTGTGTGTTTGTTTTTTGAGACGAGTCTCATTCTATGGCTCACACTGCCCTGAACCTTAACTATGCAGCCCAGACTGGTCTCACACTCCTGCTTCAACCTCCCAGGTGCTGGGATGACAAGTGTGAACCAACACACCTTGCATTTGTGTAAATTCCCACATACTCACAAAATAGCCTTCAATTTTTTTTCCTTCAATCGTTTAAAAAATAATGCATCAGTCTTAGCTGGATGCAGCCCTGAGCCTGTGTTGGCTGATGGTTGGCTGAAGGTATGCATACTGGAAAAGGGGAAAAGGGACTATTTCCACACTGGCCTCTCCAGGCTGTCTGGTGGAGAGAGAGAGAGAGAGAGAGAGAGAGAGAGAGAGAGAGAGAGAGAGAGAGAGAGAGAGAGAGAGAGAGAGAGAGAGAATGTGTGGTGGTGGATGACTCTGTGTTACCTATGTGTCTAGATACACTTCCTGGAGTGGTTACATGTGAAGGCCAGAGGTTGACAACATGAAGGTTAGCCTCTTCCCTTGCATTCTCTATGCTTTTAATGATTTCATTTTTGTCTTATGTGCATTGATGTTTCACCTGCATGTACATCTCCAGGCTGTCTGGTGGAGAGAGGTCTCTGAACAACAGAAACTCTCACACGCGCACGGGGGAGAAGCCTCGGGAGAGAGCAGCTTTGGGGGGGCGGAGGAGAATGTTCGTTCACGATTTCTAAGACTTGGTCTCTTTCCAGTCGTCACTCTTATGTGAAACTTACAGAAGCCTATGCTGAATTTGGTGCTGCTGTAGAATACGTTTCACACTTGAGTTCACCCGTGCATGTCCTTAAGTTGGACTCTGACAATTAGAGTCAAGCTCTGAGGAGGAAGCTCGGGTTACTTGAGAAGTCTGCTTCCTTAGTGGAGCGTGATCTAGCCTCTAGCTCCTGCCTCCCTGGGATCTCAGCCTTGTTTGCATGCCTTGGGAGTTTTTCTCGCTCGCTCGGGTGTGAAGGGGTGAAACCAGCCTTGCCCTCCCTCCCGCCTGTCCATTTAAAAGTCCCTTCCTCGTTCTGTCCAACGTGAAGGGCCAAAGTGCCAGGGGAAGTTGGCACTCTGCTCCACGCTAGGAGTGAGCAGCTGGCAACTGAGCTCTCCACGCATGGGTAGCAACCTCTGGCTAGCAGCAAGAAAATGAGAGGCTCTAAGCTGGGCTGGTGCTAACGTTTCTAATTTTAGTCTTGAACTTCTAATCCTCCTGCCTCTACCTCGCAAGTGTGGGGACTACAGGTGTGCACCGCCAATTTTATGTGGTGTGCAAGATAAAATCCAAGACTTTGTCTGTGTTGGGCAGGCGGTCTGCCTGCCGTGCTCTGGCCCTAGGAGGCTTCCTAGCTCCAGCACCATGAAATTACCTGGATGGGCAGCACCCCTAGGTCCCTGACTCCATGGAACTGGGATGGGAGCCAAGGGTGGACTTCTACACAAGTTCTCAGGATGCCCCTACTGCTGGTCCGGGACCACACTCTTGAGAACGGTGGTTTACAATGACTCTAAGTGATCGGAACTGACTGCCCTGTCTTCTCCTTGACTCTTATCCATGTTTAAATGTTGCTATTGTGTCCTAGAAGTCAGGACACAATAATTAGTCTGGCCTGCCCTCTACGTACATGCGAGCACGCGTCCACTGTGGTGGGCAGGTTTGTGGCAGTTTGGAAAATGACCGTGGAGGCAGGGAGAATCCAGATGAAGTGTTGGTTCACTGGGGGGCGGACAGAGTGGGCCTAAAGTCGCTGACTTACGCAGACGCTTACTTCCCGTGGAAAGCCGTAGAACAGTCCCTCCTGGAAGCAAATCATCTCGTCAGGGCAGGAACCAAAATTCCTAGGAACCTTTCCATCCTCAGGACTGCTGCTGAGACAGAAGAACAGAGGGAGCAGCCATGAGGATGGAGTTATGGAAGGCGGATGCGTTGCCATCCTGCTAATCCTTGGTTTTGCTGTCCACACTTACACAGACCCTCCTGGGTGAGGAAATCGCCCTTCTCATTGTCTCAGATTTCTCTGACTTTTCACTTCCCTTCTGCCCTTGAAATTCCTGAGGCATCTGCCAGGGCCCACAGAGACGGCTCTGCTTCATCTCGGCTTAAAGTCAGAGAGTCCAGAACTATCCTTACTCTTCCAAGGTTAAAGTCATAAGCCCTAACGGTCTAAGGCATGGCTACTATTACTTGCCCTAATCTCTTCCTTAGTAGCTTCACCTTCTGTTTCTCGGTCCGCACTCTCCCTCTCAGGCACGAGCACAGGTTAATACAGACTGGCCCCAGAAAGCGGGGTTACCAGAGATGGCTACAACAGGTATTGTGTGAAGAGCAGAGAGCAGGCTTAGAGCTTTTGGTTGGTCTAGCTTCCAGGGAGCTTCCCCAGAGAAGGGCATGCTGCCATTCTGTTCTCCGTGGACTGCCACTTGGGACAGAATGGCCACATACCATGGAACCATGCTTAGAGGCTGGGACTTCGCCACCCTGCTGTCTCCCCACTCTGGGGCCAGAGCTCCGCAGCACAGTGGCAAATGGATTCTCCCCCTGGCAGGAGGGAAAGTGGGTAGGTTTCTCAGGTGAGCTGATAAAGATAAAAACAGGGCTGAGTCCCGAGGGACATCTGCACATTCCTCCCCAATGACAGAGACAAGGAAGGAGTAATGTTATCAGGAGCCAGTGACAATCATTGACTCAGATGGCCGTGCAATGCTGAGGTTGCAACACAAGGAACCAGAGACTCTCTGTCTTGGAACTGTGCCCTCCCCCCCTTTTTTTTTTACAAGCACAGCTGCTACTGGCTGGCAGGACGGAGGTGTAAAGCACATCTCAGCTCTCGGAAAATGCTATTGCTGGGACTAGAAAGATGGCTCGGCGGTGATGAGCACCTTCTGCTCTCCCAGAGGACCCCAGTTTGGTTCCCAGAACCCACATACAACACCACCTGTAATTCCAGCTTCAGGGGACTCTACCGCTATCTGCTGGGATCTATGGGCACCTGCACTTACATGGCATACAGATGCTCTCTCTCTCTCCCTCTGTCTCTGTGTGTGTGTGTGTGTGTGTGTGTGTGTGTGAGAGAGAGAGAGAGAGAGAGAGAGAGAGAGAGAGAGAGAGAGAGAGAGAGAGAGAGAGAGAATCTTTTGTAAAACAGAAGAAAAGAAAATACACTGTCCAGCCG